GGCGCCGAGCCAAAAGAACAACCTTTATTGAGAGTATTACTTGATTTTGGCAAAACCAAAAACAAACAAAAACCACCCTTAAGACAAATCAACCCCTCAACTTAAAAAAACAAATGAATTTAGCTGGGCCTTGTAGTGGGCGCCCGTAGTCCCAGCTACTTGGGAGTCTGAGGCGAGAGAATCACTTAAGCCCAAGAGTTTGAGGTTGCAGTGAGCTGTGACACCAGGGCAACATAGTGAGACTCCATTAAAAAAAAAAAAAAAAAACACAATGGAATTTATATACCATAAACAACTGTCTACAAAACCAAAACAACAAACTGAACAAATTTTCTAGTTAAATATCCAAAAAATAAAAATTTTCTAGTAAGTGCTTTTTTCTCAAACATGGGCAGGTAGTTTACATATTTATTTTTACTATATATACACACTACCAACAGTTTTGGTTTTTCTAATGTACAGATACTTTAACTAAACCACTTCAAGAAGGCCTGTGCCTAAAAACCAGGGATGGTGATAGCCATACAGAAGGAACCACACAACTGAAGGAAGCCTGCGTTAGTCTGAGGCAGTTCCAAACAAATTATAGTTTAACTGACAAATCTAAACTAGCCAAACCACTCCTTAGATAACACACTGCCACCTAGCGAAGTACTTCGGCTTTATACCTGAGGTTGCATTTCCGATGATGTTGCTCTTAGGCACTAATAAATTACAGTGAATACAACCATAATTTAACTATTAAGAAGCTGTCTGGAATCTAAGTAAATCTGCCATTTTTATCTTATCCAGAAAACCAAGTAGGGGAAAAATTAAAGAATAAGACAAAGTTTCACATGAAAAAAACTAAATTGTATTACTGTTTATAGTTTGCAACTCTCACTTCAGCTCAGATATCCTGTTACCTCTAAGTTTATATCTTTATCTCTCAAGAAAAGAAATATATATATCTAAGAATTTGATAAAGAGTAAGTCATAGGTCGAGTGTGGTGGCTCACACCTGTAATCCCAACACTTTGGGAGGCTGGGACAGGTAGACTGCCTGAGCTCAGGAGTTGGAGACCAGCCTGCACAAGAGTGAGACCCTGTCTCTAAAAATAGCTGGGCATTGTGGCAAGTGCCTGTAGTTCCAGCTACTTGGGTGGCCAAGGAAAGAGAATCACTTGAAACCAAGAATTTGAGGTTGCTGTGAGCTATGACACCACAGCACTCTACCAAGGGCGACAAAGTGAGACTCTCTCTAAAAAAAGAAAGGAAGAAAAAAGAAAAAGTCATCATACTAACAAAGACCTTAGAGTAGCTATATACATTACTTACACACTCAATCTTGTCAGAATTGTCTAGGGCTTTTCAAGTTCAGCACTATTGACTTTTCTGGGCTGCTCTATGTTGTGCTCTCCTTTTCCCTCTGCACTGCAGTCTATTTAGCAGTATCCCTGGTTTGTACCCACTAGATGACAGAGCACCTATTATTTTTGAAAGATAGGCCAATTTTTATTATGATTATATTGTATTCAAGCATCACTGAGGAGTAATGACCTCCATTCAACAGTAACCACATGTAAAATGGCATAAAAAAGTAATCTCAGTACTTTTCCATTCATTAAGGTCTGATACACTTTAATGTTGAGCTTTAATTTTTTTTTTTTTTTTTTGAGACAGTTTTCACTGTGTCACCCTCAGTAGAGTGCTCTGGTATCACAGTTTACAACAACCTCAAACTCCAGGGTTTAAGCATTTCTCTTGCCTCAGCCTCCCAAGTAGCTGAGACTACAGGCACCTGCCACAGTGCCCAGCTATTTTCTTTTTTTCATTGTTGCTGTAATTGTTGTTTGGCAGGCCCGGGCCTGGTTTGAAACCACCACCCTCAGTGTTTGAGGTGGTGCTCTACTGACTTGAGCTATGAGTGCCACCTGAGCTTCAATTTTTTTTTGACAGAATCTTACTTTATCACCCTTGGTAGAGTATCATGATGTTGCAGCTCATAGCAGCTCTTGGGCTTAGGCCAATCTCTTGCCTCAAGCCTCCCAAGTAGCTAGGACTACAGGCACCTGCCACAATGCCCAGCTATTTTTCGTTGTTATTGCAGTTTGGCTGGGGCTGAGTTCAAACCCACTACGCTTAATATATAGAGCTGGCACCTTACTCACTGAGCCACAGGCACCGCCCAGCTTCAATTCTTTTAAATGCAATTTTCTTTTTTGAGACAGTCTCACTTTGTAGCCCTGGATAGAGTGCCATGGTGTCATCATGGCTCGCAGCAACCTCAAACTCTTTGGCTTGAGCAATCCTCTTGCTTTACCCTCCTGAGTAGCTGCGACTTATGGTGTGGTCCACCATGCCACAGAAAAATTGATGAAATAGTTTTTAATAGAAAAATACATTTTTCTGGGCGGCGCCTGTGGCTCAAAAGGGTAGGATGCCCAGCTCCATGTGCTGGAGGTGGCAGGTTCAAGCCCAGCCCTGGCCAAAAACTGCAAAAAAGAAAAAAAAATAGTTTTTCTATTTTTAGGAGAGATGGGGGTCTCACTCTGGCTGAGGCTGGTCTCAACTCCTGAGCTCAAGCAATCCACCCACTTAGGCCGCCCAGAGAGCTAGGATTATAGACGTGAAACAACCATGCTTGACCATTAAAATGTAATTTTTCTAACTTAACTATGAACTTTTAGTAAAGAGAAAGCAAGCCTACTGTTCCTTTATAATCTAATATCTACTACATTAGAATAGCCCTATTTCAAATCACTGACATTAATTAGGATCATTTTGTTAGGCAAATTAAGAATGGTATTAAACAGAGCATCAATTCTTTTCGTCAATTTTCAATTACAGAACAGAATAACTGAATATATAAAGAATGGAAAAACAAAGTTCTGTGCCTATGCAGAAAACTATAGACAAAAAGGTAAATAGTTTAAACCTAACCATCATATAAATTAAAAAAAAAGAGAGAGAAACAGTTTGTTTCTGTCAGAGTTTTGCTTCTGTCAGGTTAGAAGTATGGTGGCAAGGCATGAAAGATTACAGCTCACTGCAGCCTCAAACTCTTAGTCACGAACAATCCTCCTAGCTCAGTGTTTTAAATTGCTCAGATTACAGGCCCATGCCACTGCATAATTTTCAAAAGTCAATTTAATCATCTGTTTAATCATCAGCATCAATATGGCAACACTTAAATTGCTTTACTTTTTCCATGAACTCAAACACATATAGCTCACTTTGTACCAGATTTCACAAAACTCAGGATATACCTAAATTAGACAGCATAAGCTAAAAAAGGTGAAACTGTAACCACTTCAATTGTTATATTTGAAATCAGGTTAAGTTTTTTTTCCTTTTTTTAGAGACAGAGTCTATGTCACCCTTAGCAGCATGCTGTGGTGCCATATCTCACAGCAACCTCAAACTCTTGGGCTTAAGCGATTCTCTTGCCTCGGCCTCCCAAGGGACTGGGAGGGGCTGGCCACAACACCCAGCTATCTTTTTATTGTGGTTGTCATTGTTGTTTAAGATGGCCTGGACCAGGTTCGAACCCACCAGCCTGGGTGTATGTGGCTGGCACCCTACCCACTGAGCTACAGGCACTGCCGAAATCAGGTTAAGCTTTTTTTTTTTTGAGACAGAGCCTCAAGTTGTCACCCTGGGTAGAGTGCCATGGCATCACAGCTCACAGCAACCTCCAACTCCTGGGCTTAGGTGCTTCTTCTGCCTCCGCCTCCCAAGTAGCTGGGACTACAGGGGCCCCACACAACACCCAGCTATTTTTTGGTCACAGCCATCATTGTTGTTTGGCAGGCTCTGGCTGGATTCAAACCCACCAGCTCAGGTGTACGTGGCTGGTGCCTTAGCTGCTTGAGCCACAAGTGCCAAGCCCAAAATCAGGTAAGTTTTAGAGAGGACACAATGCTTACAGAAATGAAATTCTATTAGTCAATTTCTAAAACACTGCTGTATTACAAAAAAGAAAAATTTTCCTTGGGGCCATGGTATTTAATTATGTGAACAGAATAAAAACAAAACCATCTTTTCTAACTTAATGAAAAAATTGGGGTTTTGTTTTCTGCGAGTTATATGTAACTCACAACATACTTATTGAATTTTCTCCTGAGAATTCTTTTGTCATTCCATAAGTAATAGTTGTGTTTGGAGTGGACTTTGGGTGGTCCTGGATGATGACCTCTGAATCTTCCCCTAAGTAGGTGCAACAAAGTCTTGCCACTTAACTGTTGTATGGATTCTGTTCAAAGAGTGGAGGCAAAAATGTGCAATTGGAATCAAAGAACACAAAACCTTGTATGTGTGATGTGCTGGAACTATGGCTGGAACAGGGTGACAGGAAGTAGGGAAAACATGCTGACTGATAACAGAGGATTCACAGCTTCATAAGGCCCGAAGTTGTGAGTTAAATACAACTCATATAGCAGTTACTATAGTAACTCAATACTATAATCACACATAAAAATTTTCAAAATGAAAATTATAAAAAGAAATTTACCTCTTTTGAATCATCTATTCTCTCAAAATACACAAAAGCAAATCCTCGGGATCGTCCAGTTCGCTGATCATAAACCACATTGACACCACTTAAGGGTCCATATCGAGAAAACACTTCACGAAGATCTCTCTCTGTTGTATACAAACTGAGGCCAAACACTCCAAGACATGTGTTTGGATCTGGATTTGCCTATTGAATAAGCATGTTATTTAAATTTAATTATAATTCCAAATTAAAATCACAACTAAAAAGCACAGAAATACTTTATTTTTGAGACAGAGCCTCAAGGAGTCACCCTGGAAAGAGTGCCATGGCATCACAGCAACCTCCAACTCCTGGGCTCAAGCAATTCTCCTGCCTCTACCTCCTAAGTAGCTGGGAATACAGGTGCCCGCCACAATGCCCGGCTATTTTTGGTTGCAGCTGTCGTTGTTTGGCGGGCTCGGGCTGGATTTGAACCCACCAGCTCAAGTGTATGTGGCTGGCGCCTTAGCTGCTTGAGCCACAGGCGCTGAACCATTTTATTTCTTTACTGTTGGAGACAGAGTCTTACTTTGTCACCCTTGGTAGAGTGCTGTGATGTAACAGTTCATAGCAACCTCCAACACTTGGGCTCAAGTGATTCTCTTGCCTCAGCCTCCTGACTAGCTAGGACTAGAGGTGCCTGCCACAATCTCCAGTTATATTTAGATAGGAGGTCTCACTCTGGCTCAGGCTGGTCTTGAACCTGTGAGCTCAGGCAATCCACCTGCCTTGGCCTCCTCCTAAGATTACAGGCGTGATCCACCATGCCCAGCAGAAATACTTTATTTAGAATACTTCACCCAATACATGAATACACTCTGTAAATTGACCACCAAAGGATCTGGAACAAACGGAGGTGGTCAACATAAGAAGTCCATGTGCTGCATGGCTCGTCTATAAAAATTAGGTCAGCTTAAGGAGGCAGTCAATGTAGGGAGGTGGTCAACTATACAGGTTCTACTGTATAACTGCTTCTAGTTATTTGGAAGTAAGATTTTGGGTGGCATCTGTGGCTCACTGAATAGGGCACCGGCCCCATATACCAAGGTGGTGGGTTCGAACCCAGCCCTGGCCAACTTGCAACAACAACAAAATGGCCGAGCATTGTGGCGGGCGCCTATAGTCTCAACTACTTGGGAGGCTGAGGCAAGACAATAACCTAAGTCCAAGAGCTGGAGGTTGCTGTGAGCTGTGATGCCACAGGACTCTACCAAAGGCAACAAAGTGAGACTCTATCTTAAGAAAAAAATGGCTCGGCGCCTATAGCTCAACGGGCTAGGGCGCCAGCCACGTACACCTAAGGTGGCGGGTTCGAATCCCCAGCCTGGACCCGCCAAACAACAATGACGGCTGCAACCAAAAAATAGCCGGTGTTGTGGCGGGCGCCTGTGGTCCCAGCTACTTGGGAGGCGGAGGCAGGAGACTCGCTTGAGCCCAGGAGTTGGAGGTTGCTGTGAGCTGTAATGCCACGGCACTCTGCCCAGGGGGACAGCTTGAGGCTCTGTCTCAAAAAAAAAAAAAAAAAAAAAAAAGAAAAAAATGAATGGAAGATTTTAAGAAAACAAAAGCAGATGAACCACATTTTACAATTCATAGTATACTCCAGCCTTCTCCAGCTGGGAATGTTACTTCCCAGCTATATCTTGAATGAAAGTGTTTCTACAGCCCTGAAATTTTCATAATGTATCCTAAGAATTTACCCTCAGTTTAATAACATTATTTCTAACTTATTCAAATGTTTCATATTACTTATACATCTACAATTAACATGACTTCATCTCTAATTGTTGACTTAGACTCCCTCACCTTCATTTTTTATTCTTTTTTTTGAGACGGAGCCTCAAGCTATCCCCCTGGGTAGAGTGCCATAGCATCACGCTCACAGCAACCTCCAACTCCTGGGCTCAAGCGAGTTTCCTGTCTCAGCCTCCCAAGTAGCTGGGACCACAGGCGCCCGCCACAACGCCTGGCCATTTTTTGGTTGCAGCCATCATTGTTGTTTGGCGGGCCTGGGCTGGGGATTCGAACCGGCCACCTTAAGTGTATGTGGCTGGTGCCTTAGCCGCCTGAGCCACAGGCACCGAGCCTCATTTTTTCTTCTTTAGCCAAGGTATTCTTTCAATGTTTTCACAATCCAGATTTAAAAAAATAAATGTATAGATACCAAAGCATCATTAAATAATGACACATTCTACCATAGTTAGATGAGTCAATATCATGTGGGAGAAGCACAGCACAGCATAGCAATTAAGCACAGGAACTGTACTGGTCACAACCTGGTCTTTGCCAGTAAGCAAAAACCAAATCGAACAAAACCAAAAACCCCTATCCCATGTCATACAACCAAGACTCAATCTCCTTATCCATAACATAACTCACACCTCACAGATATTAAGAGTATTAAATGTACTAAACAGAAGTGTTAGCTTGTATCACTATGGTTTTCAGCATTTCCTTAGTATCCCCATGGTAAAACTTTGTATCCCAATATTATCAACCCAGTTTCCGCTATTTATTTTTTTTGGACACACAGTTTCTCATTCTGTTGACCAGGCTAGAATGCCAAGGAGTGACTCTAGATCACAGCAACCTCCTGGATTCAAGTGATCCTTCTACCTCTCCTTACTCCTGAGTAACTGGGATTACAGGTGCCCATAACGATGCCCAGTTAATTTTTCTATTTTTAGTAGAGATGGAGTCTTGCTCTTGCTCAGGCTGGTCTCAAACTCCTGAGCTCAAGGGATCTTCCTGCCTTGGCCTCCCAGAGCGCTAGTAGAGAGTGGATGGTGCCCCAACCACTGAAGTAGGCAGGTTCGAATCCGGCTCAGGCCTGCTAAACAACAACTGCAACAACAAAAAAAATAGCCAGGTGTTGTGGCAGCTACTTGGGAGGCTGAGGCAAGAGAATAATAGCTTGAGTACAAGAGTCTGGGGTTGCTGTGAGCTGTGATGCCGTAGCACTCTACCGAGGGCAACATAGTGAGACTTTGTCTCAAAAAATAAAAATGAAACACAAATTTCATCTGTTTTTTTAACTATTCAGAGGTCAAGAGAAAATACATTCCCTTTGTGTTATCTGTCACAAAACTATGATATTTCACTATGTATATGACTAAGCATATAGGGAAGAGAAAAGTTTTTACAAACCACATACCCTGCTGCCTGTATGTCTTCTCCGGTTAGACATTGGAGAATGACTTCGGCTCCTTCGTCTCCGGTATTCTGGTGTATATGACCTACTCCGAGATCGTCTCCTGTGAGAGTGAGAGTGGGATCTGGATCGAGTGTAACGTCTATGAGAATGCCTCCTTGACCTCGACCTTTGAGAGAAATAAATTTATGTAATAATATTGGAACCAACACCCTTCCCTTTTCCAGGATGTATACACTGGCCCTTCCTTTTCTTCTCCGGACAAAGGGTATTACATATGTATCTTCCTCTTGCTTTCTTGAATCACTATAACTTCTTCCCTACTCTTAGTCAATACTTTCTATGCTCACCCTTTTCACAGTAATATTACAACACAAACACGGTAAGGCTCTACCTTTTTTTTTTTTTTTTTGTGGAGATGGAGTCTCATTTTTATAATCCTTGGTAAAGTGCCGTGGTGTCACACAGCTCACAGCAACCACCAGGCAGTTCTCTTGCCTCAGCCTCCCAAGTAGCTGGGACTACAGGCACCTACCACAACACCCAGCTGTTTTATTTTTTTGTTGTTGTTGCAGTTTGGCTGGGGCCGGGTTTGAACCAGTATATGAGGTCAGTACCCTACCCACTGAGCCACAGGCACCACCCACCTCTACCTTTTTTAAAAAGAAAAAAAGGAAAAACATCAAGTACCATAATAAAATCCTCTAGATTCTGGACATTTCATTCATTGCTAAGGATCATTTCCTTCCCATCTTTTTTTTTTAGCTTGTGTAATCTGCTAAATTATTTCACCAACAACCTAAATGCCCATTACACCTAACAGATACTTTTGAAGTCTTCATTTACAGATGCTTTCTACAGCACCTCTTCCATCTACTGCCGCTTCCCCACTTCATCACCTATCTCATCAGTCCCAAAAGCTCTCAGTCTTCTTTCTTTGCCTAAAAGATCAATCTAACAAATTCATTCGATCATTTATTTAGAGACAGGATTTTGCTCTATTGTCCAGGTGCAGTGGCACAACCATAGCTCCCTATAACTCCTGGGCCAAAGCAGTTACTCTGCTTCAGCCTCCAAGTAATCCAACATTCTCATTTACCATTCATAAGATCCACCTTTACTAAACTTACTCAGACCAGTAGTGATGATAGGCATACAAAATAACTCTACAAGGCATTCAATAAATGTTGTTAAGTGTTAAGGGCCCCAAAGTTACTAAAGAGATCCCACGGGGAAAGGGAATAAAACTAGTAAGGGACAATTTTACAAATCAAAGGTGAACAATTCCCACTTTCCTTAGCAGTACTAATTTATAGTCCTGGTTTTTAAACTAAAGGAAAAAAAATCCTTCATTTAAAATATAATTTTTTTTGTTTTTGGAGACAGAGTCTCACTTTGTTACCCTCGGTTGAATACCATGGCCTCAAAGCTCACAGCAACCTTAAACTCCTGGGCTTAAGCAATTCTGTTGCCTTAGCCTCCCAAATAGCTGGGACTACAGGTGGCTGCCAAAGTGCCTGGCTATTTTTAGAGACAAAGTCTTGTTCTGGCTCAGGCTGGTCTTGAACTTGTGAGCTCACGCAATCCACCAGCCTCTGCCTCCCAGAGTGCTAAGATTACAGGCGTGAGCCACCACGCCAAGCCTGTCGATTGTTATTTTTAAACAGCAATGAAAAGACATCAAAACTCTTCAAAAGAGTCCCTACCTTTTCTTTAAATGAGACAGTGACAAATACCATAAAAAGGAAATTAAGAGTAGGAAATAAGTATGTGCTAATTTATTTTATTGGGTGGCAAATGTTATAAGAATTATCTGTGGGAAGAGAATTCTAGGCTGACGGCAGCAAGTGCTATGGCACTAAGTTAAAAATATACTCATTTCTATACTCAAATTCTACACTTATTCTCTGCATGTGGATTTAATAATTGAGCCATCAGTAAATCAAACACTAGGTTAAAGCCTGAATATAAATAGAAATTGTCTTAACTGTAGATCTCAAGAAAAGTATAGCCTTTTCAAAGATTCTTCTGTCTTACGCACCTTTGCAAGCAGACTCTCTTTGAAGACAAATTCTTTATCTTTACCCAAGAAATAACAATGACTTATCTAACCATCCAGATCGTTTTTAACCTTTTTATCTCATCCCAGTACATCTGAGACATCTGACAGAATTAATTTTACAGTAAATCACTAAAGCATTTGTTTCTGCTGGTGGTGGTGGTGAGGTTCCACATCACCTAAGTAGTCCCCCCTTCCCTCACCTTGGCCCAATTACATCTGACCAGAGCTCCACTCTGGACCAAAGAGTCACAATCATCAGGTGAAACATATATAGCTAGAATGTGAATTTTAAAAATGCTTCTGAACCACTCTGATTACCAAGCAAATACACCCATCAACTTTCTCGATACTAAATTATATACAAGTCTCCAATGGAGAAAACGGCCCTTTTGTTCAGGCTCAAGTAATCTTCCTGCCTCAACCTCCTGAATAGTTGGGACTACAATCACATGCCACGACACCCAGCTAATTTTTCTATTTTTTTTTTTTTTTTGTAGAGATGAGGTCTCTCATTCTTGCTTAGGCTAGTCTTGAACTCCTGACCTCAAGCGATCCTCTTGCCTTACCTACCAGAGTACTAGGTTTATAGGCTTGAGAGCCATCATACCTGGCCTCAATCAATATTTAATTTGTATTAATGGCTAGTATCCAATAGATTGACAGGGCCAAGAGATGATTCTTACCTAAGTCTTTATCTAGAACATATTTATTCCTGTATTTTGTGAGACATGGTCTCACTCTACTGCCCAAACTAGAGTACAGTGGCACCATCTTATCTCACTGTCTCTAGAGTAGCTGGGACTACAGGCATGTGCCACCACACCCAATTAATTTTTGGTAGACAGGGTCTTGCTATGTTGCCCAGGTTTGTCCTAAACTCCTGGTCTCAAGCAATCCTCATTAGGCTCCCAAACTGCTAGGATTATAGGTTTGAGTCACTGCACCTGGCCAATTAGTCTTTTTTTTTTTATTTTTTATTTTTGAAACAGAACCTCAAGCTATTCCCCTGGGTAGAGTGCCGTAGCATCACAGATCACAGCAACCTCCAACTCCTGGGCTCAAGTGAGTCTCTTGCCTCTGCCTCCCAAGTAGCTGGGACCACAGGCGCCCACCACAGCGCTTGGCTATTTTTTGGTAGTAGCCATCATTGTTGTTTGGCGGGCCCAGGCTGGATTTGAACCCGCCACCTTAGGTGTATGTGGCTGGCACCTTTGCCACTTGAGCCACAGGTGCTGAGCCAGTCATTTTTATTTTTAAACTCTGAAGAACACTACTTCATGATTTTGAGCCTTTGGTGAAATTTCTACACAAAGTAAGGCCAATTACCCCCTCTGTCATAAAAAACCCAAGAAGAACATTTAAGTATATTATTTTAAACACACTTACCTGGATTTTGATCTTGATCGAGAATGGGATTCAGAGTGTTTCGAAACCCTTGATGGACTACGAGATCCTGACCTGCTCTCCGATTTTACACGAGCAGGAGTTCCCGTTGGAGATTTTGACTGAGAGCGAGACTCCTAACAAAGAAGACAGTATTACAAATGGCACTGGTCACGTAGATGCCTAACACCTAACATTTAAAGTACCGTAATTATTTACATTGATTGCTCCTGAAAAACAAATGGTTAGGCAACACCCTCCAGAAAAAAATTTCAGCTCATTAATAACCCCTCGTTAATACTATACTGCTAACTGTCCTCAATAATTCCCTACTTGCACCAGATCACCAATTCTCTATTAACTAAGTAATCATGCAAATTCATCTACAACTTGATCATACAGACACTGGAACATAAACCATACATTTACTTAACCTAGGACCCATTCATTCTTCCAGATTCTTTTAATTCTACTTCACTCTTGCTTTCTACTTCTCTTCATTCTTCATTGAGTTTTTCATTTTTCATACTTCGTGTATTCTTCCCCAATTCAAACAATTCAAAATAGCCTTAAAAAAAATATTCAAGTGCTTCTATCTGACCAATCTTCTGTTCAATTTTTTCCCCCATTCAATTTTAATTTTCTGATCTTTAATACTTTTCATTAGCCTTCTTTTATCTTGATTTATCTTCCACATTCTTGGAAAAAACTCTTCAATTTCTTCACGAACATTAACCTTAATGGAAAAAGAACATTTAGTATATTTAAGCACGTGGGGATTATAAAACTCTGCTGGAGTTCAGAAATGTTATCTACCAAATGGAAAAGCCAGCAGGTAAAGTGCAAATAACTACTTTATTTAAAAAAAACCAATTTTATAGTCTTTAAAATTGTTTAAAAGTCTAGTTTCTAACAGAGTTCACTGAATTTCACTAAATTTTTTTTACCATACTCTTCACCCTCCTCCCGTTTTCATGTTTCATTCTAGTTCCTAAAATGTAAACAATTTTAATATATTTAATTCAAATATAAATCTAACATTAACTATAGTTCCCCCCCACCTAAGTGTTAAATTTCCTCTATAACCTGGAGATTCGTAAAATAAGCTCTCACTAAGTCATGCTAAGAAATCAAGATACAGTTGAAGCAAAGCATCCCAGGCTGAAATATTTGTACACACCTATCTAAACTGGTACATTATAGCATACACGCCAAGGGGGAAAAAAAAGGGTAAAATTTACTACACCTTCTCCCAATTTTGTTTAACCACTATCTTTGCTCACTCTGACTTAACCAGAAATAATCTGTTCTGAAGACAGACAAGCATACTGAAAAAACCAAGGCAAAGAAGAAATCCTTACAAGCTTCCCCTTGGCTTAATTCCTGAAATAATGCCTTTTTGCTAAAAGTAATGCAAATGCTCTATTTTCACGAAATATCACAATGTCCAAGGCACAAAATTCACATCATGATCTTTATCTTTGATATATACCTCTTTGGCTCATAGTTTATACATATATATTATACATTTATGTATTCTTGTACTTCCTTCAGTTATTATATCCTGTATCAGAAAACTAGTTTCTGAAAAAGCTAAACATGAGTAAAAGCTTTCCAAATAATATAATTTATAACTGATTTAAAGCTTATGTATGTGTTTTGAGACAGTGTCTTATTCTATTGCCCAGGCTAGAGTGCCTAGCTCACAGCAACCTCAAACTGGGTTCAAGTGATCTTCCTATCTCAGCCTCCACAATGTCCAGATAATTTTTTTATTTTTGGTACAGCTGGAGTCTGGGTGTTGCTCAGGCTGGTCTTGAACACTATTTAGCTCAAGGGATCCTCCCACCTTGGCCTCCCACACTGCTAGGATTACATGCAGGAACCACCATACCAAAAGCTTATTTTTTAATTTGACAGGTATAATTATGATCAAAACAGGATGTACCATTTGGTTTTTCTATCCATTTAAGCCTTGATTATTACTGTAAATAATTATCCAATTTCACACCAATTTTCATTTATGCCATAATACTATTTTAAAACTTTTAAAAACATCTTTTTTTTGGAGACAGAGTCTCACTATGTTGCCCTGCGCAGAATGGCATGGCATCACAGCTCACAGCAACCTTTTTTTTTTTTTTTTGAGACGGAGCCTCAAGCTATCCCCCTGGGTAGAGTGCCATGGCATCACGCTCACAGCAACCTCCAACTCCTGGGCTCAAGCGAGTCTCCTTCCTCAGCCTCCCAAGTAGCTGGGACTACAGGCGCCCACCACAACGCCTAGCCATTTTTTTGGTTGCAGCCGTCATTGTTGTTTGGCGGGCCCGGGCTGGGGATTCGAACCCACCACCTTAGGTGTACGTGGCTGGCGCCTTAGCTGCTTGAGCCACAGGTGCCGAGCCACAGCAACCTTTAACTCGTGGGCTTAAGTGATTCTCTTGCCTCAGCCTCCCAAGTAGCTGGGACTACAGGTGTCTGCCACAACACCCAGCTATTCTCTTTGTTGCAGTTATCACTGTTGTTTGGCAGGCCCAGGCCGGGTTCCAATCTGCCACCTCCGGGGTATGTGGCTGGCACCCTAATCTCTGAGCTACAAGCACTGAGCCTAAAAACATCTTTCTTAAGACTTTCTTTACTTCAAGTTTACTATCAAAAGATTTATCAAGAACTGTGCTATAATAATGCCACTAGGTCTAAACAAAGATGAAAATAACACTGAAATATACAGCTACCTTTCTGTCCAATACCAACCCATTTAGCTATCTAGAATAAGTCTTTCACTATACCTCAGATAACCCTCACAAATTCCTTGATAGATGACTGAAGCACACAGAGCAATTTGGGGATTTTCCCTCATTGAAACTGTATAAAAACAGCATATTCAGTATGAGAAACATAAAAAGGTATTGCTAATTTGCTTCCAATTTAAGTTTCATAGGGTGGTTCATTAAACTGATAAGAGTATCTCTTCCCTTTGGCTTTCCCTTCTATAAAACAGACCCTCTGGCATTAATGTTCATTTATGCTACTGTTGAATAGCAGTAGCTGAAACATTATCTATGAATACCACCACAACCTTTGTTATACACACGTATAGGCTTTGCTCTGTAAGAGAAAAACCTTTAATTTTACTAGTAAAGAAATAAAAAAAAGTCTTAATGTAAACAAGGTAAATTGGTAATATCTTTAAATAAACCCCAGTTCTGTAGTAGTAACAGAGTGTTAAGGTATGACAGCATGTCTTTTTTTCTGAAAGCTATCAGTGTATTTTAAAAGAAGCTCAGCTTTTTACTATCAAAGGTATTATAAATGCCTAACCTCTTTTCTCTTTTCATCTGAGGAAACTCTAAATCTGAATACATTTCTTCATGGAATCATCCAAGATTAAAAGTCCTCTCAACTAAATCCTAGTTACAACACTGTTCCTATCATTTTAACTTCCAGAAACAATCTAGAGACTTTCTTAAAAAGTCAATAACTTTTTTTTTTTTTGAGACGGAGCCTCAAGCTATCCCCCTGGGTAGAGTGCCATGTCCTCACAGCTCACAGCAACCTCCTCCTGGGCTCAAGCGAGTCTCCTGCCTCAGCCTCCCAAGCAGCTGGGACTACAGGCGCCTACCACAGAGCCGGCCATTTTTTGGTTGCAGCCATCATTGTTGTTTGGCGGGCCTGGGCTGGGGATTCGAACCCGCCACCTTAGGTGTATAAGGCTGGCACCTTAGCAGATTGAGCCACAGGCGCCGAGCCAAAAGTCAGTAACTTTTAATAAATTTAACCAAAAGTAGAATCTACCAAGTACAAAATAAACTTACATTACCATTTTAGAGTAACTTTTTTCTCAAAAACTATTACCAAATAAATGTCATTTTCTCTAGACTGCATTAAAACAAGAAGTCCTTTATGGAGGACAAATATTAGACAATCCTTTTCTACCTTTTAACTTGTCTTCATTTTGAAATAACTTTAATTTTTTCAAAGAAACTCATAAAACTGTTCAGAATTTAGAAACTGAATTGAAATTACAAACAGAAAGACAATTAAACGCTGGGAAGAAGTAGCGTCTGCCCTATTTTCTTTTTTTTTTTTTTTTTTTTTT